CGTGCTTCTCCTCTGCAAGCTGAGAAGTGATAGGCTTTATTCCCAGGCTCTCCTGCAGCTAGAGGGGGTCCTGTGAGGCAAGCCTGGCCAAGAGTCACAGGGAGAAGCCCTAGAAGAGCTCGATTTCCTGGATAAAAGGTAGAATCTCAAGAAGAAAATGCCTTTGCCTTTCACCTTACCCCCTGCTTCACTCCCGGATGCAAGAGGGCTGCTTTGAGCTGTGGCAGCTGGCAAGCTCCAGGAAGGAGGGACCGAGGCCAGTGCCTTCACGACATCCCTGGATCGCAGCCCCAGCCATGGGCCGGTCAGTCGGGTGCCCCGAGGAGGACACACAGGAGAGGCTCAGAAAACAAAGGCTATTGTACCTTTAGGGCCCAAAGACAGGGGGCACAACAAGCCACACAGGGAGGCACAGCGTGGTCACATGGCAGAAGCAGGAAGAAGGGAGAGCCCCAGCCAGAGTCTCTACTGGGGTTTCCACGGAAAAGGCAGGGCAGGACAGGGTGAACAGCTTAAAATTGGCTACTTTGAATAATTCTAGCAGGTTCTAAACCACAGGGGTGTCCCTTCACTGCCTGGTACCTTGCCTGGGAAGATGAAGGCAGAGGTCCTACCTCCTTGGTCCAAGTAGAGAGTCTGGCTCTGGATTGGCCAGTTTGCATATCAAAAGCATGCTTCCACTGGGCCCTTCCATCTCCAAGAACCAGCTAATCCAGAAGGGTCAGTCTCTCCCCAGCCAGAAAGAGTTTTTTAAAATGTTGAAACATCCGGCGCCTGGGTGGTTCAGCCAGTTAAGCATCTGCCTTCAGCTCAAGTCATGATCCTCGTGTCCTGGGATCGAGTCCCGCATCGGGCTCCCTGCTCAGCGGGGAGTCTGCTTCTCCCTCTCCCTCTGTGTGCTCGCCCTCTCTCTCTCTCTCTCTCTCTCGCTACTAAAGAAATAAAATCTTTTTTAAAATGTCGAAAGATCATAATACGCAGAAAATAAAAAATATATACAATACGACGACAACCTTGTTTAAGCCACTTGTTGGTCATGCTCAGGCTGTTTGTTACCTTCGGCAGGACACGTCCTAGCGGGTCAAGGTGACCTGGGCCGTGTACCATTACTTAGGGAACTTCCTGTCTTTGTCTATGATCCGGGACAGTTTATACATCACATAGGAACAGATGATGGAAACACGCACGCAGGGCCCGTTGTCCTAACTTGTAAATTAATATCTGAGTAGCTTCTTCTGGGGTGATTATTCTATTTGGGGTTCCTACCTCACCTGTTGTCTTCAGAACAAATGTGCCATTTTATTGATCAAATCTTCTCTAACTTTTCTATTTCATCAGCTCTATTCCCATCATTATCTATTTCTTCCTTCTATACGTGTTTTCTTTGCTGTTTGTTACTAGCGTATTGAGTTGAACGCTTAGTAGATTTTGTTTCAATCTTTCATATCTTCTGGAAAGTGCATCTAAGGCTATACACCGCTGTGGCCGTGCAGGGATTTGGGGCCCATCAACACCCCCAGCACTAGCCCCCCAGGCTGGGCAGTCGGCCGGCGGCGGGAGGGATGCCCGTCCCTGCTGCGGTCGGTGACACTGGGTGCCAGACGCCTTGCACAGCCCCCCACTGCCGAGCATAAATGCATCTCGCGTATGCTGGTGTGCCCACAGTGCTTTTATCCTTATTGACTTTAAAGCGATTGTGATTTCCATTTTTCTTGCCTCTTGAATCCAAAATTATACAGAAAGGTTTTTTTGCAATTTCCAAGTGAAGATTCTTTCTTTTGCCTCTCAAGTCCTTTCAACCCAGGAATGTGGCCAGAATCATTTCAACTTTTTTTTTAAAGATTTTATTTATTTATTTGACAGAGAGAGAGCACAAGTAGGCAGAGCAGCAGGCAGAGGGAGAGGGAGAAGCAGGCTTCCCCGCGGAGCAGGGAGCCCGATGCGGGGCTCGATCCCAGGACCCTGGGATCATGACCTGAGCCGAGGGCAGCTGCTTAGCCAACTGAGCCACCCAGGCACCCCTCATATCAACTTTTATCAGTTCCCCGTGGGTGTTTGAAAAGAATGAATATTTCCATTTGGGAAGGACAGACAGGTAGATGATCGATAGATGGTCAACAGTAGATATATATTATATCAGGCTGGTTCGTTGTTATACATCCCCACTTTTGATATGTGTGTTTACTTGATCTCCTGATTACTGAAAGCCTTTGTGGGTGGGTGAGGCTCCTGGACCCCAGGGGGCTGACCCCAACCCACCTGCCCCAGATGCCCCCCATGTGCCCTCCCCCCACTCACTGCCGGGCTGGCCACACACGCCCAATACAGAGCTCTCTGCAGCCACGGAGACAGGGAGCCCTCTGAGGGCAAAGGGTGTCTGCATGGACCCCAGCCCTCACAGCGCCCACCACCTAGTTAATTAGGGCTGGATAACCAAGAAAGCATGTGTGCTTCCCAAATACCTTCTTGATCATCACTAATATCTATTTGGTGTTGATCCCCTGATTGAGAGCTCAGTCCTCCAAAGGTGTGATTAATACCGTGTTCCTACAGGAGAGCAAATCCATGAGACGAAGAGACACCCATGAATGCTGTGTATTGGGAGCACAGCCACCGAGAGCACCTGCAAAAGCAATGATGTCATTGTTTTATCTCTCCCTGACTGTCCCCCAGCATGAATTGGCACCACTGAGGGACAGGGTCCCTTTCACATCTGCTGAGGTCAGAATGTTCGTGTCCTCCCCAAACTCGCGTGTGGAATTCCTACTGCCTGATGGGACGGCATTCATGGGTGGAGCCCTCATGAATGGGATCAGCACCCTCATAAAAGAGCTCCCTACCCCTTCCCCCGGAGAAGGGACAGAGCGAGGACATCTGGGAGCCAGAAGTGGGCCCTCAGCAGACACCTCACAAATCTGCCAGCCAGGATCTTGGACTTTCCAGCCCTTGGAACTGTGAGAAGTCAATTTCTGTTGTTTACAAGCCACCCAGTCTGTGGTATGTTGCTGTAGCCGCCCAAACGGACTAAAACAATATCCTTCTAAACAACCAAAATGCTTAGAAACAAAACATATGGAGCATAGAAGCGGGAGCCAAAGGAAACAGCTTCTGCGGCCCTGGTCTACCTTCACCTGCGGTTACATCCGTTCATCATGTAGGGATGAGTGACCCGAGGCAGCCCCGGGGAGGGAAGGGTCAAGGGGCAGATGGCTGAGCCAGGCTGAGTGTGGGAATGGACACAGAGCCCAGGCCAGCACAGTCCCCGACTGCACGAAGCTTCACATGGATATAAGTTTACAAATGCAACAGGCCTGGGAGACCCCGAGGAACATCCTGGGCTGCCCGGGTTGGCTCCGCCCAGGACCACCTCGTCCCTGTGCCTCGGTCCTGTCGACCCACAGCAGGCATGCCATGTTCTCTCCTGCGGTCACCCTCCGTGAACATGGGACAGTGAGGATCCCCCAGCTGCGCTGTGACCTGTCACCCCCACAAAGCTGAGCAGAGGACACTCATACCCCACCTCCAGCCAGAGATGATTTTCAGAGCGATGGCAGACGGATGACGGCTCCCCACGGGAGGGCCCCAGCCATGGAGACTCAGCCCCGAAGTGGCGGGGGAGCAGGTAGGCTCTGGCTGGCCAGGTGACGATCGGTGGAGATCCTTGGGTGTGACCACCGCATCCTGGGACAGGGTTCCAGAGAACCTGCAGTTGCTGGTTCCATTCTGCTCAGACCCCTTGCGGGGGAAAGTCATGGAGAGCTGGGGTGGCGAGCGGAACAGGGCCTCTGAAGGGCACGGGACCTGCCTGCTTGCTCTCTCTGGCCTCCCCCAGAGCCCAGCCCCACCGCTGGCTCCAGCAAGGGCGTGCTGGAAACAGCCCACATCCAAAGACGGCCCTGGAACTGGAGCAGGGCCAGCAGCCAGCAAGAGGCCTCCATCCGATGCTCCATCGGATGCCTCCAGGACCAGCACCAGCCCCCTCCCGGGAAAACCCAGCAGGCGGTCCCGAAACGCGCACAGAACAGGCCCCCAGCACCTGCCTGGCGGCCCTCCACCCGCCCACATCCGCCTGGCTTGAAGTCCTCGCAACTCTGACATTTTGGGGTTCTGGGGCGTCCCTCAGTCACTCCCTATCTGGAAAACGGGCGTGAGGACTTGTCAGCCCCAAGAGACAGGCCTCTCTCCGTATACCCTGAAATAAAACAGGAAAGCCAGAAGCGGATGACTCTTTACTCAGAGAAAGCACACACAGTACAGAGCTCAGCCAGCACGCAGCTCACGGGACCCCAGCCCAGAGGGGCCTGACTCACTGGGGCCTGGGAAGGAGGCCTGCGCTGGGGGCACAGACGGGAGGTCTCCGGCGGTGCCTGGCCGCCAGGGGACCCCGGCCTGACTCTCAGTCTGTCGGGGTTTTCCGTCCTCAGGCCGTGCATGGGCTCCCCGCCAGGAGGGCTCACACAACGCAGCAAGAGCCTACAAACACGGCGCGCACACGCTATGCATCCCCAGCCCAGGTGTGAGTGGGCCGGCCAGGCGGGGGAGGCCCAGGGCGGCGCCAGAGGGGGTGGAGCCAACCCGGGGGTGGAGTCAGGGCCAGCGCAGGAGGTGGGGTCAGGGCAGGGGGTGTGGCCAGTACAGAGGGTAGGCCGGGTTGGAAGGTGGGGTCAGGACAGGGGGTGTGGTCAGGGGAGGGGGTGGGGTCGAGTTGGGAGGTGGAGTCAGAGCCAGGCCAGGCGTGGGGTCAGGGCAGGAGGTGGAGTCAGGGCAGGGGGTGGAGTCGGGACGGGGTGGGTCGGGATAGAGGCGGGGTCAGGGCAGGGGGTGGGGTCGGGTTGGGAGGTGGAGTCAGAGCCAGGCAGGGGGTGGGGTCAGGACAGGGGGTGGGGTCAGGGCAGGGAGTGTGGTCAGGGGAGGGGGTGGGGTCGGGTTGGGAGGTGGAGTCAGTCAGGCCAGGGGTGGGGTCAGGGCAGGGGGTGGGGTCGGGATAGGGGTGAGGTCAGGGCAGGGGGTGGGGTTGGGTTGGGAGGTGGAGTCAGAACCAGGCAGGGGGTGGAGTCAGGGCAGGGGGTGGGGTCGGGTTGGGAGGTGGAGTCAGTCAGGCCAGGGGTGGGGTCAGGGCAGGGGGTGGGGTCGGGTTGGGAGGTGGAGTCAGAGCCAGGCAGGGGGTGGGGTCGGGCTGGGAGGTGGAGTCAGAGCCAGGCAGGGGGTGGGGTCAGGTTGGGAGGTGGTGTCAGAATCAGACAGGGGGTGGAGTCAGGACAGGGGGCGGGGGCGGGATAGGGGTGGGGTCAGGGCAGGGGGTGGGGTCGGGTTGGGAGGTGGAGTCAGTCAGGCCAGGGGTGGGGTCAGGGCAGGGGGTGGGGTCGGGATAGGGGTGGGGTCAGGGCAGGGGGTGGGGTCGGGTTGGGAGGTGGAGTCAGTCAGGCCAGGGGTGGGGTCAGGGCAGGGGGTGGGGTCGGGTTGGGAGGTGGAGTCAGAGCCAGGCAGGGGGTGGGGTCGGGCTGGGAGGTGGAGTCAGAGCCAGGCAGGGGGTGGGGTCAGGTTGGGAGGTGGTGTCAGAATCAGACAGGGGGTGGAGTCAGGACAGGGGGCGGGGGCGGGATAGGGGTGGGGTCAGGGCAGGGGGTGGGGTCGGGTTGGGAGGTGGAGTCAGTCAGGCCAGGGGTGGGGTCAGGGCAGGGGGTGGGGTCGGGATAGGGGTGGGGTCAGGGCAGGGGGTGGGGTCGGGTTGGGAGGTGGAGTCAGAGCCAGGCAGGGGGTGGGGTCGGGCTGGGAGGTGGAGTCAGAGCCAGGCAGGGGGTGGGGTCAGGTTGGGAGGTGGTGTCAGAATCAGACAGGGGGTGGAGTCAGGACAGGGGGCGGGGGCGGGATAGGGGTGGGGTCAGGGCAGGGGGTGGGGTCGGCTGGGAGGTGGAGTCAGAGCCAGGCAGGGGGTGGGGTCAGGTTGGGAGGTGGTGTCAGAATCAGACAGGGGGTGGAGTCAGGACAGGGGGCGGGGGCGGGATAGGGGTGGGGTCAGGGCAGGGGGTGGGGTCGGGTTGGGAGGTGGAGTCAGAGCCAGGGAGCGGGCAGGGTGAGGGCAGGAGGCCCGGCCAGGGCCAGGCAGGGCTCTGCAAAGGAATGGCCTGGACACCCAGCCTGGGCAGCGGGCACAGCAGCAGTGATTCGGGCTCCGGGCTTGGTGCGTTTTCTTCCCCAGCCCAAGAAAGAGGAAGAGCCTGGGTGAGCAGCATGACTGCAGCGAGCTGCGGGGCCTGGTGACGCCTGCCCACGACCGCCGGGTCCGGGTCTGGGTCCTGGGCGGCTCCCCAGCCCCCCGCCCGGCCTTCCCTCTCTCCAGGCGCGGCCCCTCCGACCGCCGAGCCTCACAGCAGCTGGTCAGGGCGCTTGCTGCGCCATACCACCAGGCCGGCCATGGCCACGGTCAGCAGGACCGGCACAGCGATGAGCGGGATGAGAACCTCGTCCGGGGGGTCCTCCCAGTGCGTCCTGTCCACGGTGCAGTTGGCGAAGAACTGCCTGTGGACGCCGCTGATGAACCCCTGCGCCAGGGGGTTGGGCCAGTAGCAGCCCACCACGTTGGTCTCCACCTCGGTGCAGTTGGTGAAGGTCTCGTAGTACCTGCAAAGGCAGAGGGTGTGACAACCGGCTCCCTGCGCCCCCATCATGCGGCCGTGACCCGGGAGAGCAGGGGGTGGGGCCCAGCCCTGGGCGGCGCTGGACAGCGGGGACAGGAGCGCCCCCGGGACCCTCATACCATGTGCCTACCCGACATGCTGCCTCCTTGCCCAGAGGCTCCTGGGGCAAGGTGATCATCCCCCCTGCCCCCTCCCCCCCGCCCCACCCCCCCACCCCGGCCAAGCCTTTCCTCCCCTGAGCCTCAGCCGCTTCCCCCCACGCGCAAAACCACGCTCCACTCCGCTTGGCCAGATGCCTGCCATGAACCCCCCAGGACTGACCACCCCCCCACCCCCCGCCAGTGAGGTGACCTCCACACACACCCTGAGCTCATTTGGCCCAGACCCCAGACCTTCCATCTCAACCAAGACCAAACAGAGCAAGGAAGCTCTGCGGCTGAGTTCTATCTACACCCCATGCGGGTGACCACCTCCCTGGGAGGCTGTGAGCTCCCAGAGCCCCCAGTCTGGGCCCAGCCCCCAGGGCTCCCAGGACTTCCCAGTCTGCCCAGAGGACACATCAGGCCTGACCCCTTTCTTCAAGGCAGAGGGATGCACGACCCACAAGGCCCTCATCATCTAAGACACTCTGTGGGCCCCAGGAGAGGGACCTCTAAGGCCAAGGGCCAGCTGCCTCATTTGCCGGGTCAGGAGGGGGCGGCCCCCATTGGACAGAACAGGCTCGAGCCCCCTCCCCCAAGGGCCTCCCTGTCCATGTCATCAGACCTCCGAAGGCACTCAGCAAGCCACCCATGAGGTGCCACGTCTGTCCAGCAGGTGGGCTCTGGACAGTTCAAACAGCCGACCACGGTGCAGCTTCGGGGACCCAGAGTCAGCCGAATGGCAACCTCGCCCTGAACACAGCCAGCGGCCTCTGGAGGTGGGAGCCAAGACTGGCGACCAGCCCCCAAGATGCTCCAGAGAGAGGGCTAGACGGACACATGCCAGGGTGCACCCGCCCTGTCCACGGCCTGGGCCTTCCCACCCCTGGCTGAGTGCCACATGCAGATCAGGAGCAGGAGGGCCAGGGGTTCCGACCTCGGCTCCCCACGGGTACGAAGGCTGGGGTGAGGCAGGCCTGAGGCTCTGTGCCCCGTGTCCTCCTTCCTGCATTGTCCTGGGGAACATGGCCTGGCCTGAGCCATCAACAGGAAGGAGCTGCTTCCTACACAGAGGCTGTCTCTGCCCAACAAGGGGTAGGAAAGGAGGAGCAGTGGATTCACGTGGCCAGGCCCTCCGGGTGCCCAGCCCTCCTGGCAGGGCCCTAGGCCAGAGGCTGGAATGCAGGTCCCACACCTGGGCCCCCCAGGTAATGCCTACGAGGAGGGGCCCACACAGACGGAAGAGAGCTGGGAGCAGAAGGGACGGCCTGAGTCATGTCCAGAGCCTGGGACATGCCCAGGTCTGGTCCACAGGAAGCCCGTCATCCCCAGACCCACCCCTGCACACACGGGCTCAGTGGCCTGCTGTCCAGGAGAGATCCAACCTGGCCTTTGCTTGGGGCAGCCGCCGTCCCCAGACTCTGACGAGAACCCTATGCTCTGACTCCCTTGCCTGTGGGAAGGCCACCACCACTCCCCAGGGCCAAGATGGGGCCAGATGAACCTGGACACAAGTGTGCAAAGCCAGGCTTTGGAGCCGGGGCCCACGCCCCCAGAAGGCAGTGCGGAACAGCGTGGGCTGACAGGCTGCCTCCCGCCCCAGCACAGACCAGCTTCCGGATTTCGGCCACGTTTCTTGTGTCCCTGAGCCTCAGTTTCTCCACCTGTAAGTGGGGTTCATAGTACCTATCCAGTAGGATAACGGAGAGGGTCAGGTGAGCGCACCCATGAGCATAGACGCACAGCGCTGAGCAGAGCACCCATGTCTATGGATCGGCTCACGGAGACGCATGCCGAATACCCACTCCCGGTGCTTCTCGAGAATGCTGGGGGCTAGCTGGGCCAACAAGGCTTGCAGAGGCCACAACTCCCTGGCATCCTGCCGTCCGCACACAGCCCCACGCCCTGCTAACTCGCCGGCCTCGGCTCAGGCTGGAGACACAACTGAGGGGCTCTTCACAAGGAAGGCGCTATATGCATGACATCGGGGAAGCAGGGTCACAACACGGCTCGTTCTTCCCTAGCATCCCCTGGTCACCCGGGGCCTCCCCATGTCCCCCTTGGGTGTGGCCCCTGGAACACCCTCCCTCCAGCTCCTGGGGCGCTGCACACGCAGTTAAAGAAGATGCAGCTATAGCCCCGACGGCAGGGGGCGGGGTACACAACCCGGAAGCCCCCCGGTCAGATGCCCTCTCCCACCAGGCAGACGCTTTCCCAACTCGGCTCCTGACTCAGCTCCTTGCTTTCCTTCAAGATTTGCTGCCTGCATTATTGCTCGTAGGCGATATGGCACGGCACTTGGAAACCTCACCGGCAGCCTCCCCTTAATGGGATGGACGGGGTCTCCATCCTCAGCAAGCTGGCTGTGGGGCGAGGACAAGGGCAGTGACCTCAGACACGGATCACCATGGGGACAGGCCCCCCCAGGTGCTCGCTGCCACTGGGACCCCTGCGCCAGCCCGGGGCTGCCACTCCCACCCTCCCGCTCTGCCTCTGCCCTCCGTCTCTGACTTTGTCCTCTTTTGTGGTTTGCTCACTCTCTGGGGGGCGGGGGGATGGCACCACCCCTGCCTGCACCCTGAGAAAGGGCGCCCGGGAAGCATGAGGTGGGAACTCTGCGTGTCTGGGGCTGTTTCCATGATGACGGATTGGCGGGGAAAAGCGGTCTAGAAATCCAAGGCCCCGGCCCCACCCCCTCCTGGTTTCCAGGGCTGCAAAGGGAGCCTGAGGCCCCCAGTCCTCACGTGTGTCCAGCCCGCTGTTGTCTCTCTACCCATGCGTCTCTGCCCCTTCGCGGCCCACGCCTCAGTCCGCAGTCTTGGTGCCAGGCACGGGGCAAGCCCTCGGGGTCTGAACCTGAGCCCCCACCTGGAAATGGCCCTGAGTTCCTCCCTGCGTCCCCCTGCCCGTCTTCTAGAACTCCTGCCCCCAGGACCCCTGACAGCCTCGTGCGCCCAGCTCTGTCATCTTCTGCTCGGTGTTCCACCGCCAGGGGCGCTTTCTGCGTCTGCCGAGCTTCCTCTCTGGCCCTCAGGACGCCCCAAGGCACTGACATGGCACCGCGGTCTCCCTCCGGTTGCGGTTGCACGGGGATCTCAAGATGTGGGTCCCCGCCCCGCTGTTCCTGCCAGAGCCCTTTATCCGATGTCCCAGTCCCACCTGGATGCTCACGACCAGGGGGCTCTGGGCTGGCAGGGGTTCGGGCCTGGGGGACAGGGTTGCCTGGAACATCCCAGGCTCTGCTGGGCCCTCCGAGGGAGCCCCAGCAGCACCCCCCCCCCGCCTCAGGAAGGACGGCTCACCCGAGGGGTCCCCTCCTCGGTGCAGGGGAAGGGGCGGCTGGGCACCAGCCACTGTCCCCAGGCTCCCGGCTTGGGGCCCAGGCCTGGGCCATGGTCACAGTGTGAAGAGGCACCTCAGTCCCAACAGCGCAGAGAACAAGCCTCAGGGAGGGGCTCTGGACCCCGGCTGCCCCTCGGATGGCCCTCAGCTGCCTTGCAGACCTCCCAGGTCTTGGAGGCCAGCCCCCCTCTCCGGCGTGGGGTCTGGCTCAGCTGGGGTGGGAAGTCAGCTCCCCCTGGTGCTCTGACCCCAGATGCCCCTCCGGCAGCCTGCTCCCGTCCTCTGGCCCCAGGGCTGGACATCAGCTTGACCTCCTCACCGAGGCTTTAGTGGTGACAGAGACACAGGGTGGGAATCTCCCACCTCATCCTCCCTGGCCCTCCTCCCATGTCCACTCCAAGCCTGGCGTCCAGAAGCTTCCCCACGGCTCCGAGGACAAGAAGGTGCCCGGGATCACACTTAGCATGAAACCTCAAGACACACTGGCTTTTACCTCCTTGCAAATCATCAGCAACCGGCCTGCCCACCCTCCCTGCATCTCCGCATCGTGGCTGGTGCTATGCTGGTGGCCCCCACAGGCCGAGCTACCCCTGCCCCGTGCCTATCGGGAGCCCCCGTCCTCCCCAGAAGCCCCAGGTCGGCTCAGCTGCTTCAGCCCTGACTCCTCCAAACCCAGGCCCCCTGCTCTCCATCCCCAACAGCTGTTCTAGGGGCTTCCGTGCCCAGTGCCCCAGCAGACAGTGGCTCTGGGGGTGAGGTCCACACCCACAACCCCTGGTGGACGTGGCACAGCTGGTGTGGGGGAACTGTTCCTGAACCAAACAGACTGAAATTTCTGCATCTGCTGGGAATGGGCAGGGAAGGGCAGGGAGGGCAGGCGGCAGCAGGGGAGGGCAGGCGGCAGCAGGGGAGGGCAGGGGTGAGCAGGGAGGGCAGGCGGCGGCAGGGGAAGGCACGGAGGGCAGTGGTGAGCAGGGAGGGCATGAGGCGGCAGGGGAGGGCAGGGAGGGCAGGGGTGAGCAGGGAGGGCAGGGGTGGCAGGGGAGGGCAGGGGTGAGCAGGGAGGGCAGGGGTGGCAGGGGAGGGCAGGGAGGGCGGGGTGAGCAGGGAGGGCAGGTGGCGGCAGGGGAGGGCAGGGAGGGCAGGGGTGGCAGGGGTGAGAGGGGTGGGCAGGCGGCGGCAGGGGAGGGCAGGGGTGGCAGGGGTGAGAGGGGTGGGCAGGCGGCGGCAGGGGAGGGCAGGGGGCAGGTGTGGCAGGAGAGGGCAGGGGTGAGCAGGGAGGGCAGGGGTGGCAGGGGAGGGCAGGGAGGGCAGGGGTGAGCAGGGAGGGCAGGCGGCGGCAGGGGAGGGCAGGGAGGGCAGGGGTGGCAGGGGAGGGCAGGGGTGAGCAGGGAGGGCAGGGGTGGCAGGGGAGGGCAGGGAGGGCAGGGGTGGCAGGGGTGAGAGGGGTGGGCAGGCGGCGGCAGGGGAGGGCAGGGGTGGCAGGGGTGAGCAGGGAGGGCAGGCGGCGGCAGGGGAGGGCAGGGAGGGCAGGGGTGAGCAGGGAGGGCAGGGGTGGCAGGGGAGGGCAGGGAGGGCGGGGGTGGCAGGGGTGAGAGGGGTGGGCAGGCGGCGGCAGGGGAGGGCAGGGGGCAGGTGTGGCAGGGGAGGGCAGGGGTGAGCAGGGAGGGCATGAGGCGGCAGGGGAGGGCAGGGAGGGCGGGGGTGGCAGGGGTGAGAGGGGTGGGCAGGCGGCGGCAGGGGAGGGCAGGGGTGGCAGGGGTGAGAGGGGTGGGCAGGCGGCGGCAGGGGAGGGCAGGGGGCAGGTGTGGCAGGAGAGGGCAGGGGTGAGCAGGGAGGGCAGGGGTGGCAGGGGAGGGCAGGGAGGGCAGGGGTGAGCAGGGAGGGCAGGCGGCGGCAGGGGAGGGCAGGGAGGGCAGGGGTGGCAGGGGAGGGCAGGGGTGAGCAGGGAGGGCAGGGGTGGCAGGGGAGGGCAGGGAGGGCAGGGGTGGCAGGGGTGAGAGGGGTGGGCAGGCGGCGGCAGGGGAGGGCAGGGGTGGCAGGGGTGAGCAGGGAGGGCAGGCGGCGGCAGGGGAGGGCAGGGAGGGCAGGGGTGAGCAGGGAGGGCAGGGGTGGCAGGGGAGGGCAGGGAGGGCGGGGGTGGCAGGGGTGAGAGGGGTGGGCAGGCGGCGGCAGGGGAGGGCAGGGGGCAGGTGTGGCAGGGGAGGGCAGGGGTGAGCAGGGAGGGCATGAGGCGGCAGGGGAGGGCAGGGAGGGCGGGGGTGGCAGGGGTGAGAGGGGTGGGCAGGCGGCAGCAGGGGGGGCAGGGGGCAGGTGTGGCAGGGGAGGGCAGGGCTGAGCAGGGAGGGCAGGCGGCGGCAGGGGAGGGCAGGGAGGGCAGGGGTGAGCAGGGAGGGCAGGGGTGGCAGGGGAGGGCAGGGAGGGCGGGGGTGGCAGGGGTGAGAGGGGTGGGCAGACGGCGGCAGGGGGGGCAGGGGGCAGGTGTGGCAGGGGAGGGCAGGGCTGAGCAGGGAGGGCAGGCGGCGGCGGCAAGGGCGGCCCGTGCGGAGCAGCGGCACTCACACGATGAACTCGGACAGGTTGCACCACTTCCAGACGTCCACCTTGTGCATCATGTCGGCGAAGGCCTTCCCGCAGAGGGGCAGCTTCTCCAGCATGCGAGTCTCGTTGCAGCCACCCACTCGGGGACACCCACCTGCAGAGGGGACAGCCACGGCATGACACTGCTGGGAATGTGGTTTGCAATGGGACCCTCGAGCCTCCTGCTGACATCCCCCACGCCCCCGCAGGCAGCTGGGGTCCCTCACGCTGGCCCCCCCGCCGTGTGGCCCAGAGAAGTGAAGCCACTGCCAAAAGGGGACCCACGTGGGTGGGTGTCACCTAGATGGGGCCCAGAGAGCCATGGCCTCCCAATGGGGTGTGGGAGAAAGAAGGCGAGGGAGGGCAGCGGGCAGGGGATGCGTGTCCTGGGGACTGGGGAAGCCGAGAACAGGTGGGCTCCCGTGTGCGGTGGGGGTGGGGAGCGGGTCCCCTCCATCAGGGGTGGCAAAGCAGCCCCAATGCAGCGCCAGGGTGGAGGGTGCCCAGAGCATGTCCCCAGAAAGATCCTGAGAGTCTGCTGACCTCCTGGGACCACGAGGGCACCAGCGGAGGCCCCCATGGGGTGAACGCCACCGGCCCTGTCAGAGCTGCCCCTCAATTCCAGGAGGCCTGGAGCCGACGAGACATAGGGACTCATGTTCCAGAAGCGGAGGCCAGGTCACCCCCTAGGTCCGGCAGGGGTCCCCCCAGGATTCCCGGCACCCCCTCCCCGCTCCACCTCTGCCCCTAGCACCCCCATCCCTCCACCGCCACCTTCACCCAGATCATCTCCCCACCGAGGAGCACTCACCCTCAGGACCCAACCATCCTTCCTCCCCAGACACCCCTCAGAAGTTTCCTTCGCATGGACCCTGCTTTGGCTCCCACCACAAAATCAAGAGAAAGCCCCGTGGTGTGTGTCCTGGTATGTGTGTGCATATGTGTGTATGTGTGTGTATGTCTCTGTGTGTCCTGGCAGAGAGTATTGTGCTGCAGGAGAAATCGTAGGGAAGGTAACAGGAGAGAGGCCCACACCCAGAACTGGGCAGACCTGGGCTCACACCCAGCATCACTGGTCACCAGCTGACCTCAGTTTCCCCATCTGTAAACGAAGGGAAACGGGTCCTGGCCTCACAGGGGGCCATATGGACAGGCATTAGCCATGTGCCCAAGGAGGCTCCCATCTTTACGGTGTTTGTTGTTACTGTAGGTATTTGGTAAAACCCTGCTGCTCCCTCACTCCCCTAACCATCAGCACCTCGTTGATATTCCGAAAAGACTTTTCAAGAGAATGAATGAATGAATGACCAGTTCCTGAGGGCAACAGCACAAATTTCACAGTCTGAGCACAAGCAAGTGCAGAAGAAATGGCAGGTTCTGACCCACTGAGATCCCACACTGCAGGCCACGTCGTCCCCAGGGGAGATCACAGGGTGCCTGGCTCAGGGAGGGGCTTGCACCACAAAGAAGGTGGCCCCATGACCATAAGGGCGCTTCTGGGAACAGAAGGGAGGTGAGAACGAAGAGGGCAAGGCAGTGAAGAGTTTTAAAAAAAATTAAGTCCAAAAGAAAACATAAAAAAAGAGAAGAGAAAAAGTACTGATGACACAATGGTAGATATAAACCAAACCATGTCAACAGTCAGATTGAGGGATGCCTGGCTGGCCCGGTCGGTAGAGCATGTGACTCGTGATCTCAGGGTTGTGAGTTCAAGCCTTGGGTGTAGAGATTACTCAAAAATAAAATCTTAAAAAAAAAATTGATTGGGGCGCCTAGGTGGCTCAGCCGTTAAGCGTCTGCCTTCGGCTCAGGTCATGATCCCAGGGTCCTGGGATCGAGCCCCGCATCAGGCTCCCTGCTCGGCGGGAAGCCTGCTTCTCCCTCTCCCACTCCCCCTGCTTGTGTTCCCTCTCTCGCTGTGTCTCTCTCTGTCAAATAAATAAATAAATAAATCTTTAAAAAAAAAAATTGATTGAGAGTCAATGGCCTAAACACCCCAGTTAAGAAGCAAAGTTGTTAGATGAGATCCAAAAACAAGCCCCAACCATAGGCTGTTCGTAAGAATCCTACTTTAAACAAAAAAACTCAAATACATTCAAAGTAAAAGGGTGGAAAAAGACATACCATACTAATCCAAAGAAAGGTGGAGAGGCTATATGAATTCTGAATGAAGTATATTCAGAGCAAAGAATATTACCAGAGATAAGGAGGGTCTTTCACAATGATAAATGATTCAATTCACCAAGGAGACATAGCAATGCTAAACATGTATGCCCCTAATAACAGAGCATCAAAACACAGGAGGCAAAAATGGATAGAACTGCAAGGAACAAAATGACAAATCCACAGTAACAGTTGAGAATTAAATACTCTTCTCTCACTAATTTACAGAACAAATGAATAGCCAAAAAATCAGTGAGATTACAGAAAACGAACAGTGAGGGAGTGCCAGGTACAGACAGCGGGCCATGGAGCCAGACTGCACTTGGCTTGGGGGGGCACCCACAGTTGTTAGGGGTGAAGGGGTGGCAGTGAGGTTGGAAAGGTGGACCCTGAGCCACACTGAGGCAGGCCTCCCAGGGCAGTTTTCAACCCCAGCACTCTCCCGCTGAACCCAATCTCGGAACCTTCACTCATAGAGTCCAGGCATGCAGCAGCCAAGACTCAAGCTGATGTCCCTTCAAGAGGAGCCATGCCATCTCCTCCCAATGCCTGACCAATGTCCACAGTGCCCTGTCCTAAGTAAGGTCCCACTCGCAGAGGCACTTAAAAAGACAGGGTTGCCACAAAGGGAAGGTCATCCACCTGCTCAGTAACACAGTAGGGGTCAAGCCCAAACCACCTTCCTGTAGAGCTGCCTCCCAGTGGCCTGTCAGACTGGCCTGAGCCGACACCCTCATGCCAATCCCATCCGTGGTTTGCCTGAGGAACAGCATCAAGTCTCCTGCCCCCCCATCCCCCCAGTTTAAATGCCCAGAGGAAAATCAACTTTCCCACAGCCAAACGCAGAATCAATGTGAGCCAGGGTGTGCCATGCGCTGGCCTCGATCCACCACCCTGCCCAGATGCACCTGCCCATCTGCGGCAGGAAGGCAGCCCTGGGTCCAGGGCCACATGGGCATGGTGCTAGTGACTCTGGGGAGTTCAGGCCCTTGGGGGCCCATGGGGGGGTGGGGAATGATGATGAAGCCAGCCCACGTTCCCTTCTCCCATCACTGCCCTATTCCCAAGGCACCTCTCTCTCCTGCTCCCCAGTGGGCTCCCCATCATAGGTGCTAGAAGTCCTCCACACCTAGCCCCTGGACCCATTCCTGGGCCTGGCCTTTCCCTGATGGAGTCATCACAGCATCCCATCTGAGTCTCCTGAGCTCCACCCACCTCCCACACGGGCATAAGCCACACAAGTCCTAGACCGTCTACCTGATCCGACACCTGGGCTGGACCCCGACACCTGGACCTGCACCTCTGGACCCCCTGGACCCCTGGACCTGCATCCCCTGGACCTGGACCCCATGGCCCTGGACCCCTGGACTGGCAACCCCTGGACCTGGACCCCCAAGAGCCCCGCAGCATACCCTAACCACCTGCTGTCAACCCACTAAGACCCAGCTCAGCGCTTCCTTCCTCTTGTTCTCCTCCCTCTGCCCTGGGACCCTCTCTCTTCTGGCCCCTCCTCCTCCTTCTCCTGGACCAGAGTCTCCACCGCAGTGCGGCAGGAACTTGGCCAGCACTGGCCCTTAAGGACCATGGGGGGTGCTATGAGGATACCAGGACAGTGTCACCGCTGGGTCTGCACAAGGCAGGCACCGTGGGGCAAACCAGAAGTGTCCTGGGGCATTCTAGCACCATCCCTGTGCACCCCCTGTTCAAACACTCCCCACAAAACCCAACACCCCGGCCAGCGTTAGAACAGCAGGTAAAGACGAAGATTCCTGACAACACCGAGAAAGTGGGCGACTGCCACAAGCTGCCAGCTGCATCAGTAAAGGTCTCGGGAATTAAACTGAAATACAAAACTCCGTTGGTTCCACCAGGGAAACAAAGAAAACGTAGTACTGGGTTCCTTTTGTCTCGGGAGCTTCCAGACTCCAGGAGGTGATAAACACCCAAACAGATGCATTTCCCAGAGAAAGGCCTTTTACAGCGGGGCATTTGGAAATGAAATACAGGAGCCTCTCATCCGGCTCGGATGGAAACGAGGAGCAACCACACCAGTCACCAGGCTCTGAGCGGCAGGCATGGCCAGGCTGGCCATAGTGTCTGGAAGGTTCTGCCCCTGCCCCTGAGTCTGGGCAATGTCCTCCCCACCCTGGACTTCAATTTCTTTTTTTTTTTTTTAAGATTTTATTTATTTTTTTGACAGAGAGAGACATAGCGAGAGCAGGAACACAAGCAGGGGGAGTGGGAGAGGGAGAAGCAGGCTTCCCGCAGAGCAGGGAGCCCGATGTGGGGCTCGATCCCAGAACCCCGGGATCATGACCTGAGCTGAAGGCAGACGCTTAACGACTGAGCCACCCAGGCGCCCCATGGACTTCAATTTCTTATCTGTAAAACGAGGAGTGGGGTCAGAAGACCGTCGAGGCCCCTATCGGCCAACCACTTCTGCGCAGCCCCTGGGTCACTGGGCCCGGTGGAGTGCATGCGAGTCTGGGTGACAGGAGGTGACTCGGCATAGGGACATCATTACTCACCAGTGACAAAGAGAGGACAGTGCCATGCTCGCACACAGCACCAGCGCTGTCTGGGGTGCTGTCGGTCCCTGGAGCCACCGAAGCTCCATGCAAGGGAGACCACGGAGCCACCAAGGGAGGACCAGATGGCCCTCCAGACCCGAACCCAGTGTTGTTAAACGCGGAAGATGTTTGTGCAGGGTCTGCCTCTGGTCCTTCACAGTCCAATGCTGGCGGCAGGTCAGGGGAGCCTCAACCATCCTCAGAATGAAGCTAAGGGCTCCCTTCCCTTGAGGAACCAAAATCTCCATTCCAGGGCCTCGCATGTGAGGCTTACTGAAATCCCACGTCAGGGTGCTCCCAATGTCCAAAAGCCACCACGCACCCTTTCCTTCAACACAAAGATCCACCTAACCCTAGGCTCTGACCCTGGAAGGTGAGACGAAGCCCCACTTTCCCCACCCAGACACCTCCACCGGAAAGGCAGCCCAGAGATCGGGAAGCCAAGGGGCCAATCCAGCCCTTTCCCACCTCCTAACCGGTTCCAAATCAGCAAAGCCGACAACGATTTCAAACAAGGTCAACTTTGCATCTTACAGCCAGGGACGTGGGTGGGCCAGCGAGGGCAAGGCTGGCCTCCCACAGGACCCAGGGGACAGTGGCCCCTGGGAGAGGCCCTGAGCCCCCTGACCCCCAGGCCAGGGCTCCCCACCTCAACTGAGCAGCCTGCTCAGCAAGCCTCTCCCAGAGAAGCCCACCCCAAACACACACACACACCCTCTTACTTGATCTTGGATCCTCTCTTTAGTAAAATTTTTCAAAACAAGCTTTTCATTCGATCCATTCCCAAATCGCAATGTATCCTCCCCGGAGCCCCGTTTTCCTTGCTAGAAGAGGGATCTGGGAGCGAAGCCTCAGGGAGCTGCCCCCTTCCCGGTCCTGCGGGCCCCGCGCACACTCGCACACACACCAAAGGGCTTTCCTCCGAGGACAAGTACAAGTGGAAAGGACCAGCCCTGCGGGGTCTGGATTCCTCTCACCCAAGCCCTGGGAGGGGGGTGCACGCAAGAGCTCCAGGACGGGGAGCTCACTACCTACCAGCGAAGTGGGAGCCGGACCTGCGCCGCCTCAGCTCGCTCGGGGTGTCGCCCTGGCAGGCCATCCCCAGCCCGCCGGCAGCGAGACCGGCGACATCGCGGCTGCGAGGAGCAGGCGCGGCCCCAGCCCGCTGGCCGGGCATATCCTGCTCGAGACCCCGCGCCTCCCCTCCCAGCCCCGGGCCGTCGCCTCCGGCTCCTCCGGGGACCGTGGGCAGGACCCTCCCGCGGCGGCTGGGGACGGCGCCCGGGCTCAGGGCTCGCCGCTCCGGAGCGGGGCGCGCCCGGCAGGCCGGGATCCGTGCCGGGCGGGAGGCGCGGCCGGGTGCGGGCGCGGGTCCCCGCGGCCCCGGAGGAGGTCGGGGCGCCCTGGCGCGGGCCCCCGCGGCCCCCCTTACCGCAGAGCAGCAACATCAGCAGCAGCCGAGCCTGCGGGCGCCGCCGCTCTCGCGTCTCCATGGCGCGCGGTAGGCTCGGTCCCGGCCGGGTGCGCGGGGGGCGCCGGGGGGGACGCGGTCGAGGGTGGGGCCGCGGAGAGCCCGCCCCTAGACTGCGCCCTCCCCCTCGGGGACGCGCCCACCCACAGGGGACACTCCTGCTTCCAGAGCGCGCGCTTGTCCGGGACGCGCCCTCCCGGGACGCGCCCCACCTCCCCCCCCTCCCCAGGACTCGCCCCCTAGCCGGAGCGCACACCCTCAAGACACGCCCCCCACCCCCGGTGCGAGCCCCGGCCCTCCCGTTCCGGGGTGCTGCAGGCGGCGAGCGCGCGGTTGGCAGGACGGGGGCGGGCTGGGGGGAGGGGCGGCCTAGGGAGCTGGAAGGAGTGGGTGCGCGTCCGGGGGTGCGCCGGGAGGCGGGGAGCGGGCGGCCGAGGGCCGGGAACGTGCCTGGGGCAAGGTCCGAGCCCAAGAGAGACTGGAGGGGAGGGTTGCGGGGGTGGCACCAGCCGGAGGAGAGGTGGGGCCGCTGAGGGGTGCCCTATGTGCTGGAGCAGGGAGGGGCCACCAGAGTGAAGCGGCTGATCCCCGAGTCCTTATTGGCCCCAGGCCCCCCAGGATACTTTTCTGGGGGCTTCCCTGTGCCTCTGCGTCCCTCTGCACCAAAAAGGGATGCGGGCCTGGGCAGGTACGCGCGCGCGTACACACACACCACTACCCGTGGCTGGAAGCTCCAGTCCTCAGGCCCTGCCCTGTGACCTCTGGGAAACCGCAAAGGACAAAATCAGGGCCAGGAGAGTGACTGGTAACCGGGAAGACCTGACCGCAAGGAGTGTCGCGGGCCCCGAGCGGGGGAAGGAGAGACTCGGATAGATCACTTATGGGGGGGTGGCCACCTCTGTCACCTTTCAGCCCCTAGCACGGATCCTGGTCCCAGCGGACACCTAGTCACATTGTCACTCCTGAGCCCCTTGGCGGGAGGGACCCCTGTGCCCACAATCCAACCCTGGGAGCGCATACTGGTCTGAGGGCTCACAGAGCAGAGCCAGGAGGGCAGGGCTCCCTCGGGGGATTGCTCTCTGCCTGCTCCCCACCTGGACAAGCCTTCCGCCTCTCTGAGTGGCAGAGGTAGGGGGTAATAACAGCTCATGGGGTCACCCCGAAATCCAGGTGCTGGTAGCAGTCACAGACCTCTGTGGGCTGCATGAGCCCATCTGACCCTTCCCGCATTAGTTAAGGGATGGAAGCTTTCTGTGCCTTCTCTGGCAGAAGCCAGGATTATTTCAAAAGCTATTTAAAATTGATCAGCCTTGGGCGCCTGAGTGGCTCAGTTGGTTAAGCGACTGCCTTCGGCTCAGGTCATGATCCTGGAGTCCCTGGATCAAGTCCCGCATCAAGTCCCGCATCGGGCTCCCTGCTCGGCAGGGAGTCTGCTTCTCCCTCTGACCCTCCCCCCTCTCATGTGCTCTCTCTCATTCTCTCTCTCTCAAATAAATAAATAAAATCTTAAATAAAAAAATAAAATAAAATTGATCAGCCTTCCTGCCTGCCTTCCACCGGAGGTGGTGGGGAGGGCGGGCACAGGAGCAACCCAAGCCTTGGGCTCACGCAGAGGGGCCGCGGGCTCAGCTCGGCTGCGGGCCAGCCACCCCCTCTCAAATGCCCTGTGCCAACCCAGCCAACGCAAGAACACAGTGTGGGTGCCCACCACTGTCCCAGGAGCCTGCAGACTCACCAGGGCCCGCGGCACTCCGCGGGAGAGGCTCGGCCAGACCCCCAAGCCCTCCCTCCCCCCATGCTTCCGCACACCTATCAGGCTGCGACAGCGGGGTGAGTGATCAGAAGGGGGACAGGCCAGATGGCAGCCAGAAGCCTGTGCTAGCCTGGGGGCTGTGGCTCCGTGGGACTAGTCCTCGGGAATGAGCCGTGGGGCCAGGCAGGGCTGCAGCGATGACAGCATGAAAGCTCGAGGGCCTCGCACGCTCCACCTTGGACCTGGCTGAAGCTGCTCCCCCATCAGGGATGCCCTGCCCTCCCCCATTCTGAGGTCCCGTCCACCCCCAGGCTCAGGAGCTCCTCGGTGCTTCGCGACCGCGCTTTGTCCCCACTAGAGGGCGTCCCTGTGCACGCCTCCTGTGCTCTGTGCTGGCCGGGGGGGGGGGGGGGGGGGGGGGGGTTGGGGGGGGGGTTGGGGGGGGGGATGGGCACTGAGCAAGAGTCTGCTGGTGCAGGGGGTTCACGCAGCTAGCGAGAAGGGGTTAGGAGAGGCCCCTGCCCTTCCCCCTCATCCTGATTCCTTCCTGTCCTGGCACCGCTGGGCACATGGACACACACACACACACACACACACACCCCGCCCCGTGCACCTCCCCTGCCGCAAGCTCGCTGCTCCTCTCCTCTCCAGGGGGGTAGGTCCACAGTCTTCGGAAATGGCCACCACCCTGCCCAGACCCAGGCTGGCATTAGAGTTTGCGGTGACCCCTGGGTCATGGCAGAAGGGACGTTCGGGGAACTCCAAGGCTGGGACAGAAGAGATCGACCCCTCTCGCTCCACACTGCGCAGAGCGGCTTCATCCCGGACAAGCACCCACCACGTTCCAGCCACTCGGACGTCCGGGCTGGGTTGGTGCCTGGGCAATCTCAACCCCCCTGAGCACGACAGCCTCCCGGTGGAGCCAGTCACCCAGGCTAATGAGAATTGATGCATGTTTGCTGAGTTATTTGTGGGTGCACAGGTGTGGTGTTCCCCGGGGCAGACAGAAGGGGCTGTCCTGGTGGAGGGGTGAGCTCTAGAGGGGAAGGAGAGGTGAGGGGACACCGGGACAGGTGGGTTAAGGTCAGGGCTCATGACAGGGGCTGCTGGCTGACTGGGGGCCTGCCTGAAGATGACGCATGGTGAATCCACAGGCGATCAGAGACCGTAGCCTGGATCCTTCCCTCCAGCGGCAGAAGCCCCCAGCTCCTCAAGCCAAGCTGATGTGGGATCCCAGGGAGGCCTCGGAGGCCAGCTGCAGCCCTCGGGCCTCAGGGCGGAGAGGACAGATCAGGTCCGAGGCAGGGGCTGCCCTGATGTCTGGTTCTTTCCCTGAGCTCACAAGCTACCACCCCAGAAGAGCCGACCACTTTTCCCCAGGGCTGTCTGCTCCCCTTGGAGAGGACCCACACCTGCCCACGGGCCAGCTAGTGCCCCAGGCCTCCTCCTCCGCCTGGCTCTCCGCTTCTCTTCTCCTGCCCCTTCACAGAGGCATGCAGAGTTGCTTCTGCTGAGCTGAAGCAGAAGCTTCCTTTTGAGTCCCCTCCGGCCCACTTGCCCCCGTGGATCATCCTGTTGCCTCTCCTCTCCTCTCCTGTACCTCGGGCCGGCACCCTGGCCCCATCCGGTACAGGGCTCAGCCCAGGCAGTCAGTGGGCATTTGAGGGGGGGCTTTGCTCTAACTCTTGGCTGTCTCGGCTCCAGAACGTGGTATCTCTGCACCCAGTAGCCCTCCCAGGTCCCCTGGTACTGCTGCCCCACCCAGGAGTCCAACCCCGGCATGTACTCCAGCCCCCAAGGAGGAGAATGTCATGGTCAGTTGAGTTTCTCACCTCCCCAGCTGCCCTCAGCCCAACCCAGACACCCTTGAGAACAGGTCCAATCAGCTTTTATAGGAATCTACCCCAAGCTTCCAAAACTTCCTCTGGAAACGACATGCTCACCCCTCCTTCAAGAGGCTCAAGCAAATCTCACCCGCGTCCTGGTGTCTGCTTCTCCATTAGACTCTCCCAGGCCTGGCCGCCTCCCCACGTGGCATGGCTCAGGTCATGATCTCAGGGTGCTGGGATCGAGCCCCAAGTCGGCCTCCCTGCTCAGCGGGGAGTCTGCTCCTCCCTCTCCCTCTGTTCCTCCCCTTGCTCATACTCACTCGCTCTCGCTCTCTCTCTGACAAATAAATAAATAAAATTTTGAAGCTGGAGAAAGTCACTGCCCTGCCTCATTCCCAAATTAGGAGTGAGCACCAAGGCCAAGGGGACCAGTCCATGCTGAGATACATGGGCACAGGAGAGGGAAGTGGGGGGGGGGGGAGGACAGGGACAGCTGGGGCCAAGAGAAGCTGTCATTCCTGGCAGCCCCGTGTGTCTCCCCCCTGCAGCCCTGTGGCCCTAAGCTGGTGGCCTTTACATCAGGAAAGCGAGGCCATCAGGTCCCACCTTCTCCAGCAGGCCTGCATACAGCTCCCTGGGAGTCCCGTCCCCACGCCCTTACTCTCCCCAGATGGAAGACTGAGCATGTGTTCTCATTGAGAAGGGGTCTCTCCAGGCTCCCGGACTCCGTGGCAGGTCCTCTGGGGAAAGGGACAGGCACAGGTGAGTATGAGTCCCCTGGGTAAGACAGGCGCCTCCCCCAAGTCTCCTGATGGGCACAGGCCCTGTGGAGTCAGCCAGGCCTTCAAGGGTAACCCCGAGTGGTCTTGCTCCCCTGTGAGTAGCCTGGCAGCCCAATCAGAGAACCGTCCCGCTGTGTGTGCCTCAGCATGGGAGGGCCTGAGGTCGGGCAGGCCTGCTAGTTCTGGGAGGTTCCCCGCAAAGCCGTGGTGGCCTGGGAGGCCGCCACAGAGGGCAGGTGCATGGACGCTTGGCTCCCCCTGCCAACAGACCCCGAGCCACTGCATCTTCATCCTCAGTGCCGTGTGGGACCATGCAAGGGGGCTAGGGGGAGGTCCCCCAGCTCTGGGGTTGGAGAAGGGGACCTGCAGCCACTTCCCGGCTGCCCCAGGACCCCGGACTCAACTCTCCAGGTCTTATCATTATTATTATTATTATTATTATTATTATTATTATTATTATTATTGTTGTTGTTACTATTTTTTTTAAGATTTTATTTATTTATTTGAGACAGAGAGAATGAGAGACAGAGAGCATGAGAGGGGGGAGGGTCAGAGGGAGAAGCAGACTCCCTGCCGAGCAGGGAGCCCGATGCGGGACTCGATCCCGGGACTCCAGGATCATGACCTGGGCCGAAGGCAGTCGCTTAACCGACTGAGCCACCCAGGCGCCCTATTATTGTTACTATTATAAAATGCACACGGCATAGCACTCCTGTCCTCCCCAGCTCAAAGTGCACACTTCAGTGCCATTGAGCATATCC